AAAAAAAAAAAAAAAAAAAAAAAAAAAATATATATATATATATATATATATATATATATAAAAATACATTCCGTGAAAAACTGATGACCAAATCCTGAAAGTCAAAAGTAAATTGAAGACTCAATTGAGAAAATAACTAATGGTGAGCACTGCATCCATTTAAATACAGAACTAAGATTGAACAACTGTGAGGAGTATGATCACCAAAGAGAATACGCATGCAAAGACACTGACAATATCAAGCAACGTAGCTAGAAGGGCAAGTGCATCCCTGTAGCCCGCTTCGTCCATGTCTCTCCCGCTGCACCCGGGGCCCAGGCATGGCCTGGACCATGCAAGGTACAGCCTTCGCCACGCGCAACGAGTGACCAGGCTGCCACTGCACCATGGAGTGTCAGGCGCAGGCTGGACTCTTCCCGTGAGAACGTTGCGAAGAGTAAAACTTTCTATGCATCCAGGAGCTAGACAAGGTGGCGTTTTAGGGCCTTTCCTAACTGAAGTGGAAAGCGTCCAAATTTCTTCATGAAGCTTTTTGTAAAAGTCAATAAATATTACACATATCATATACATACGTGTATATATATTTCACGCACACCAGCTTAAACCACATAAAACAACATAACACTTTGGGTAACAGTGGCATTTCTCTGCCTCAACTGAGAATCATTCTAAATGTCACTTTTAGTCCCTACACTGGTTTATACAAACAAAACTAAATTTGACATTAACTATGTAGGAATTTTCAGTTCAATATACAGCAACATGTAGGGACAACATAGCACCAGTGCCCAAGAGCCTGCACCCAGCAGAAGAAAAATCTACTTAAGTTCTATGAACTCTTCTCTGCAAGAGAGTTGCTGAGAGGAAAATGGGGAATTTCATCACACTGGAATATGGGAGAAGCTGGCATTTCTGCTTTGTAATTACAATTGTTATTCTTAGGGTAAAAACCGAAATAGCAAATTTAGCTGGACTCACCAGTTTCAACTTGTGGAAATGAAATAAAGTTCACTCCCTGAGCCAAAAACCTCAAGCAGTTGGGAGCAAGAGGGCAATAAGGACAGAAGAAAACACACCGTGTTGCTGTCGAAAATGAGTTTCCCTGCTCTGTACTTTGCCTCATTTGTTGGGCTGTGACCACCAACCCAGTGCTTTCACCCAAACCAGTAAACTGCACTGTAGCTCCTAAATATGAGTCCACAGTTGATCCTCGCAATCCAGCCAGACTCCCCACATGCAATAATTGGCCACTGGAGAGCAGAAATGTCTAAATCATTCACAAAACCACCTGTATGAAGAAGTACTTGATGCTCACAAAGGAACCACCAAGGAGAATGGAGGGAGGTCCACTGTGAACACCATCTCCTGCCCCGCCCCACTGACCCCAACTGCAACTTTCTCCCAGGTTACTCTCTGCCTTGGCGTGCTATTACTTAGAACTGTACCAACTTCCAAAGCCCATGTGTCTCCAGAGCAGCCAAGAGAGATGGACACATCTAGAAAGCAATGTACTGCTTGGAGAACTGATAGAGATCTCCCTGGGGTCATTTTCTGTCATGGATAGCAGGGCCAGTTCCATAGGCACAGCTCCACTGCAGAACACCAGAGCCCAACTGCGTCACCCACCTTCTTTATATTCTGGATCTGGACACTTCTTTTGTTTCTCCCTTCCATTTAGAGTAAAGGAAAAACATCAGCAAAGAGGTAAATCTGAAAATTTCCAATGGTTAGGATAAATCCAACCACTAGCCATTCTAAAGCCCTACCATGATCAAGATATTTTATTTATTTATTTATTTATTTATTTATTTATTTATTTATTTATTTATTTATTTATTTTGAGTTGGAGTGCAGGGGCCACTCCCGGCCACCGCAGCCTCGACCTGCTGGGCTCCAGCGATCCTTCCACCTCAGCCTTCCAAGTAGCTGGAACTACAGGCGCATGCTACCACACCCGGCTAATTTTTTAGTTATTGTAGAGATGAGATCTCACTAAGTTGGCCAGGTGGGTCTCAAACCCGCAGGCTCAGGCAATTCACTTGCCTCAGCCTCCCAAAGTGCTGGGATTACAGGTTGATCCACCGAGCCCAGCATGATTAAGACAGTTTAAAACAACTAGCAATGATCAGAACAGGAATAACAGCAGAAAATGGTCAATGCCAAGGAGAAATGAGCTGTAAGTTGCCATAATAAGTGTTTGCAGTCATGTACATAATATAGAAAGCTAAAGAAATGCAAATGACCAGGCTCAATATAACTATATTAGTTACCATCTGTATATATCTTTTGCCTATAATGTCTTCAAGATCTGTCATGGAAAATAAGGACATAAGCTCATGAGGGTGAAAATCTATAGTGTTTGAGAGAAAGTCACTTACATTGCTAGCAAGATGCTTGCTTAGAGGCAAACATAAATGCCAACATCTTCCACTGACTGAGCAAAAAAGAAAACAATCACATATAGTCTGCTTTACTATACACAAACTCTCTAGAAACTCCTGCTGGTAGAGAGCTCCAAGTTCTACAGGCGAGGTTAACACCTCACAGAAACAGCAAAGCACAGCCTCTACGTATGGAACTTCTGGCCATTTCCCTTCATACCACCACCACCACCACCACCACAACAAAAGCAAAGTGCATCCCCTAGGAGTGTGAGGGCCCAATTAAATGATTAATAAGTACAAACATATTAACATATAATGCACATGAAATGGTATCTGTAAAGCACAAGGAATAGTAAGCACTTGATAAGTATTAGCTACTAATTCGTTTTTGACATTTTAAACAAAATGCCATAAATGGAAAACACTCAGTTATAATTGATGAAAATAAAATTTAAAAATAACTTTACAAATTATTTATAACAAATTATTTGATAATGATCTAGTTTGGTTTTTTTTTTAAGCTTTACATATGTATATATACTTTTTTCTTACCGCTTATAAAATTTTTTTAATTTGGCATTTGTTCGTGATAATTCTTCCGGATAGATAATGTAGATTAAAAATTCTTTAGAGATTAAGTGATCTGCTTCACTATACACAGCTAGTAATAGGTTGAACCTGGCTTATTATTCTTAATGCACATTCCACATACAAAAGGAGTCAGCAGCTCTGAAGAGGGAGGATAAGATTTCCAAAAAGAAAACTTATATACTATTGTGGGAATGTAACTTAGTTCAGCCCTGTGGAAATAGTTTGGAGATTTCCCAAAAAACTCAAAAATAGAATTACCATTTGACCCAGCAGTACCCTTACTGGATCTATAACCAAAGAAAAATAAATCGTCCTACCAAAGAGAAAAAAAAAAAAAGATGATAGGCTACTGCTCAATTTTCCTCCTGTTCCTGTGGAAAGTCTAGTTGATCCAAGTCTCTTTTAAAGTTGCCTTTCTTCCACAATTAGGTCAACATCCACAACTGTTGCTTCAATTTTGAGCCTTAATCATGTAGTTGGATGGTTTACAGCAGAGATTAATGGTTGGCTTAGCAAGTTTATTTCTTCCATGGATGGTGGATGTAGAAAACATCCATGGATGGTGGATGTAGAAAATATCATGTTAATGGGATTATTATAAGTGTTGGTAGAATGATTTTTAGCATTGTAAAAGGCTTAAGTTTTGTACATAATCTAGACCGTATGTATTTGACACCATTACTCGAGTCATAAAGGCTTCATGATGGGAGGATAGACAACTGGTTGTCTAAGAGGGAGAATGCCAGTGTCATGGCTGAGTTTAAGAAATAAAGTTGGGCTGGGCGCCATGGCTCAAGCCTGTAATCCCAGCACTTTGGGGGGCCAAGTCGAAAGAACTGCCTGAGCTCAGAGGTTGGAGACCACCCTGGGCAACTTGGTGAGACCTCATCTCTACAATAAATCAAAAAACTAGCTGGGCATGGTAGTACATGCCTGTGGTTCCAACTACTTGAAAGGGTAAGGCAAGCCGGGCTCAGTGGCTCAGCCTGTAATCCTGCGCCTTTGGGAGGCTGAGGTGAGTGGATTGCCTGAGCCCACGGGTTCAAGACCGACCTGGGCAACTCGGTGAGACCTCATCTCTACAATAAATCAAAAAATCAGCTGGATGTGGTAGTGCATGCCTGTAATTCCGGCTACTTGGAAGGCTGAGACGGAAGGATCACCAGAGCCCAGCAGGTCGAGGCTGCGGTGGCCGGGAGTGGCCACTGCACTCCAGTCTGGGTGACAGAGTGAGGCTCCAACTCGGGGGGAAAAAAAAAAGGCTGAGGCAGAAGGATCGCCTGAGCCCAGCAGGTCGAGGCTGTGGTGACCATGAGCATGCCATTGCATTCCAGCCTGGATGACAGAGTAAGACTCCAACTCAAAAAAAAAAAAAAAAAAGAAAGAAAGTTGTTCCACAAGAAACTACCTACTGCTGTTTTGTATTTTCAAAATTAAAAGAAGAGACAGTAATTATAAGAAAACAATCAATGGGCATCATACATAGTTTGCACCTCTCAAATGCATGTGTGTTCCTCTACTGACCTGGAAAAATCTTAATTTTTCCACAAGCTTCAGTATTCCCTTCTCTGGTTTCTGCATGTGCTTTTCTGTAAACTGACACAAGGCATTTACGTGAATTCTAGATAAAGTCTGCCAATTGTCATACTACTTGTCATATTTTTTAGTAAGGCATTCGATGAGTGTTCCATTATGACTACTAAATGAAATGTGCGTTGCTTTAAAAAGGTGTATTCATAAAAATTTAATGTAACTAACAAAAGACAGAGGTAAAAATGAGCAATTATAATTTTAAAATCGAACACAGATTATAGTATGTGGAAACAGAAACCTCTTATCACAAAAGAATATGAATATTTCTAAGGCTTGTTTGATAACATTTATGAAAATTAAATGAAAATCGCATTAAATTATGTTTACCTGTTAAGGTCAGTCCTATTCTGATGACAAATGTATGACCCTTTGTGTCACATTATTCCCTGGGTAATGTTTTTAAGATGTCCATTGCATAATATCTACTTATGAGGCATGAAATTAAAAAAAAAAACACTTTAACACTAGAAAAATTCTTCTACTATCTGCACCCTTTCAAAAGCCAGCTACATACCTGGCTTGACATAGGCTCCCCCCACTGAAGAAATATGGGCCTAGGAGAAGAGTTCCACTGCCTCTCTACAATCTGATTTCCAGCTCTGAGAAGCCTGGACTGGAAGATGGACAAGTACAAACAAAGCACAATTGATCAAATAACTTTCTCAATATGCTATTTTAAATTCAGACACTTAAAGCTTTTTTCCTTTTTTAAATACAAATACCAACACTGGCCTGCTCCTATTGAAAAAGGCATCACTATGAATCACAGTAATACATTTTAATCATATCATTTAAGAGCAGATATTTTAAAAGACACAGAGCGCGTGAAGAAGAGCTCCCTTGGGAACTAGAGGCGGACTTAAGTGGGATGCCCAGGAAAGGCAGCTTTGGACAGAGACGAACACTCATCCATACCTCATCCTGTAACTTTGTCATCTTTGTAAGATACAGAAGTAGCAAATGCACCCCCCACCCCCTGGAACTCATCTGGGGGCTGCCAGTGGCCAGATAATCTTAGCTTTCTATCACACTTCCAGACTTTACATAAGCCATCAATAGAAGGCATGATGCCACATAGCTGAGGCTTGCCTTACAGTATAATGTGCTATACATAAATCTAGGAAATATAAGTGGATCTCACATCCTTTGATGTTAAGGATGCTTTCATGGGCTATGATACATGGATAGCTATCAAGCCAACTTTCCGGACCTCTAAAAAGAAAGAGCAAGTGTGCCTTTACTGGGTGCTTTCTACCCCTCCTGCCCCGACCTTCACCCTTACACTCCAACCCTGCAGTTTTTTTTAACATTAGGAGTAAAAGCTTTCAGATGATAAACGACATTCAGGATTTTCTAAAATTTCTTTATGTGATATTCTGCTCAGAAACATGGATCTAAAAGCAGATAAGCAATAACATGTTATATTATTAGCAAATACTATTTACTAATTAAGTAGTGGTACTAAAATAAAATTATTAGAGTTGCAGGTTCAAACATTTTTTTCAATGTTTGAGCTACCAGCTCCATGACATCTTAATTTTTTCAAATAATGATATCTTGAGAATGAATTAATGGTAGTTAGGATCTACAAAGTCACTTGTCTTCCAGTTACTAATAGGACTGTACCGAAGCAGTCTTGTAGTTCTTCATATTTAGTGCCCTAAAATTGAAAAATAAACACACATTTAATTTTGTAGGTGCAGTTAATATATCTGTACAAGCTTAGAAAAACTTTTTGCATTAAAAAATCTAAAACGATTATATTTTATAACTCATTAACAATCCAAACACAAAATTTTCTCAACAACTTTAAAAAACTTTATTAAAGTCACATATACTTAGAAAATATAACTTAAGAAAGAAAACAATTATGGAATCAATTTTAAACACTACTGTCCAAAGGTTTCTTAGTTTTAAAATTAGGGTAAACAAAGCTAAAACTTGATTTAGGATGATATTTGTGATAATATAAAAAGAAAGAGATTTTAATAGATTCAGAATTACTAAAGAGGGCATAAATTCTGATTTTTAAAAAAAGCAGCCAATTACTCTTATCTTTTTCCCTGCTTCAAATGTATATGTTAGGGCATCACAGAACATTCTTAGGTTTGTTCTCCAGGTAGAAAAGAACACAGAGAAAACCTGAAATACTCCCCCCTCCCCACACACATAATTCTGTCTGAGGATGGATGTGGTAAGGAAAATTCCAATTTTATTCTCTGTTCTAGAGATAAAGTTGGGCAGAGTAGTGATAGGTGGCTTGCCAAAGGACACAGGAAAAAAAAACACAATTTTTTCCTGTTTCTAAGTCCAATACCAACTAGCTCACACAGAATATTATTTCTCTAGACAGCAGTTTAAACTTCAGAAATGTACTCGGATATCTAGGGGAATCAGTTGGCTACAAAAAGAAACTCAGTGATACAGATCAGTTTTTATTATTTCATAAAATTTGAATTTTGGTAGGTCAAAATCAATTTACTTATCCCACAGAATTGTCACCAAAGTGCTATGAAGATAGATAAAATATGCAAAAAATAATTTGTATCATCATCTATACTAGAGCTTATTAAAACCCATGTGGGTTAAGTCATCATTCAAAATATATTTCCAAAACCTGCTCATTTGATCACATATAAAGTATCAGTAACCATAGCAGGCTTAGAAAGCTTGAATTCACTGATCATTGCATCTAATGAGGACTATTCATTTCACTTATAATGGCACTTTATAAGTTTTGATTTTAAACTAATTGCATAGTTTAACTTCTATTATTTACTTCATTTGATGGCATCACAGCTACTTAGAGCTTTGGTCCAAAAATTTTTTGTATTGGAGTTTGGAAGAGTAGTTATTTTATTTTACATAAAATTGAATGTGATATGCTTCCAGTTAATTGTAGTGGTACTGTAATACATTAACAAAATTAAATTCATGGGAAAGACATTGGTTCCAATACTCTTAATGAGATGTACACATGGTATAATACAAATGTCACAGAATTAGAGGCACAAAAATATATACAATAGGTGGGAGTGTAGTGGCTCATTTCTGTAATTCCAGCATTTGGGGAGGCCAAGTTGGGAGGATCACATGAGGGCAGGAGTTTGCAACCAGCCTGGGCAACATTGCAATATCCCATCTCTACAAAAAAATTTTAAAAATTAGTCAGGCATGATGGTGCACACCTATAGTTCTAGCTACTCGGGAGGCTGAAGCAGGAGGATCACTTAAGACCAAGAGTTTGAGGCTGTGGTGAACTATGATCATGTCACTGCACTCCAGCCTAGGTGACAAAGTAAGACTCTGACTCTTACACACACACACACACACACACACACACACACACACACACACACACACACAGGAAAAAAAGAAAAAGAAATATACACAGCATTCTATAGTTAATGCTATTGACACAATATCAGTAAATAACTATTTAACAAAAACTTCAGATTCAACTACAGATTCAATGAAATATCCATTAAACTACCATCATCATGCTTCTCAGACCTGGAAACGACAATATAGAAATTCACATGGAAACAAAAACGACCATGAATAGTTGAAATCCTCAACAAAAGAAACAAAGTAGGGGGTATCACACTTCCAGACTTTAAACTTTATTATAAGACTACAATAATCAAAACAGCCTGGTAATGGTACAAGAACAGGCATATAGACCAATGGAACAGAAGAGAAATTCCAGAAGCAAAACCTCAATTTCTCAACTAACTCATCTTCGACAAAGTTAACAGATAGATAATCAGAAATACACCTTTGTAATGAATGGCAGTCTTACTTTTGTGATATAATAATAATGTTGGTATTATAATTACTGTTGCCAGATGATAGAGATGTACTACTGTTTTATAAAAGTAAATTTAGTGTCTTTTGTAATCACTGTGTGATTACGTTAAAATTAGAAATATTAAAATTAGTTTAAATGGCATTAAAACTTTTTCAATGAATAGAAAGTTAATCAAATGCATTTATCTACTTCTTTGTGATTCTACACACATATACACACACACAGAGAGAGAGAAAATGAATAACTAGTTGTTAAATAGTTGTTTTTTCTCAATTTATATCCTGAACTCCAAACAGTTTGAGAGTGCTCAAAACCTGGGTAAATGAAGTTTTAAGATATTTCTATCTTTCTTTCTTTCTTTCTTTCTTTTTTTTTTTTTTTGAGACAAGTTCTCACTCTGTCACCCAGGCTGGAGTACAGTGATGTGATCCCAACTCACCATAGCCTTAAACTTCTGGGTTCAAGAGATCTTTCCACCTCAACCTCCCAAGTAGGTGGAACTAAAGGCACTCTACATCATGACCAGCTATTTTGCATTTTTTTTTTTTTTTTGTAGAGGTGAAGTCTCACTATGTTGCCCAGGCTGGTCTCGAACCTGGGCTTAAGTGGTTCTCCTGCCTCAGCCTCCCAAAGGGCAGGGATTACAGGCATGAGTCACCATGCCCAGCAAGATACTTTGATAATATACATGTACATTTTCCCAAAGCATGATAGTGATATGAGCATTTTTAAGTAACTAGAATATTTCCTGTCTTCACCGGTTATTTCCAAGTTAAGGAAAGAACTCTCAAGCACCATTAGGGAATCCTCAGAGTTGCTAAGAAACCCCCTTTAAGAAACAACCGGTATTAACAAGTACTGTTAATTGTATAACACATATCCGACTAGTTTCAAATGACTCATAATAAGGTGCTACAGATTTGCTTAAAAATTATGAACAGAATAGTTTGAGGCAGATAAATTAAGCTTTTTCAACTGGGGATTTCAGAAAATAGGAAAGCATTTCTACAAGGGAGAGCAGGTACTTGTATGTGGAAAGAACTGAGATTTCTAAAGTTGCCCAAATTTGTCATTTTTAAAAGAGAATAAAAGATATTGTTTTGAAGAAGTCTAAATGTTGAAAACAGGTTTCCTTGGTTTATAAGCTAAATGTAAGAGATTCCTACCTTTTGACATTCAAAGTCATTATACTTTCAACTGGTCTGCTTTTTGGTCCACTTGGTGGATGGAAAATAGAACTTTTGTCAGAAATCTTTGCCAACTTAACCACGTAAGGATCAGCAGAATGTGATGGGTAAGGATCAAATGTTCCTGCCTTCATGCCACCAGCCTGCAAATAAAATGAGACAATCTAGTGTGGTTTTATAAAATGCTTCTATAAAATCAGGTTGTGAAGAAGTTCATGCATATTTCTGTAGTCTATGGAGTTGATTTAACATATAAAGAAAATTATCTAAGCTGTTTAATATAAATGCCAACAGATGGCCTCCCTAACCATCTATTATAGGATAAAACACTGTAACCAAAAGTTATCTGTAAAAGTGAAAGTGTTTATAATAAAATAATAGTCTAAACTATTGCCAAGCCTTAAATGTCTTAGTGAGAGTTTATCAGATCAGGCTGTCACCTAATTAGAGGGTGAGCCTAATTCTGAGGGAACGAGATCAAGGTCAGATACTTTTCCACAGAGAATGGGGAACAAGGAGCATGGCACAACATGAGTTTGCTAAACTCCAGTCAATGAGGAGAAAGATACTTTCAAAAAAAGACAATAAGCAACAGTACATAGAAATAGGAGGTGAGAGGAAAGTATGATATATTTTATATTTGTCTTGTCTAATAATCAAAGTACTTTTCAAGCTACACATGAGAGATATGTTTTGACTTTTTAAACTTATGTGACAAAATTTTTAATCTTTATATTATATATAGTCACCAAGAAAATTCTGTAGAATCATGATAACCCCTTTAATTGGACATCTTTTTACTTGTATTATCTAAGGCAAATATATAAGAAGATTTATTTGAAAGACATAATTTTCCAAACTTTCCAGATTAAGGATGCATGGATTATTTTAAAGAACAAAATAATAAGGAAACTTAAGAAAAGTAAAATCAGTTAATTTAAGAATGCAAAAGCAAGTCTGGGTATAGTGGCTCAGGTCTGTAATTAATCCCAGCACTTTGGGAGGCCAAGGTGGAAGGATTGCTTAAGGCCAGGAGTTTGAGACCAGCCTGGGCAACATAGCAAGACTCCATCTCTACAAAAAAACTTTAAAAATTATCCAGGTGTGGTGGTGCATATCTGTAGTCCTAGCTACTGGAGAGACTGAGATAGGAGAATCACGTCAGCCTAGGATTCGCAGTACTGCACTCTAACCTAGGCAACAGAGTGAGTCCCTCAAACTTTAAAAATAAATAAATAAAAGCAAAGTGAATGAATTAAAGATGATACTTTAAAAAATAAATTAAATATATAAATCTATATTAGAATCAAGAATGAGAACTGGGCACAATGGCTCACACCTCTAATTCCAGCACTTTGGGAGGGTGAGGAAGGAAGATTGCTTGAGCCCAGGAGTTCGAGACCAGTCTGGGCAACAGAGCGAGACCCCAGCTCTACAAAAACAATGTTAAAAATTAGCCAGACATTGTGGTGTGGGCTTGCAGTCCCAGCTACTCGAGAGGCAGAAGAATCTCGTCTGAGCCCAGATATCAGGGCTGCAGTGAGTGGTGATTGTGCCACTGCACTCCAGCCTGGATGACACAGTGAGACCTCCAAAAGTGAAAACGGAGTAAAAGGAATGGGGTAAACCCATATCTATATGAAATATCAAAAAATTAAAAAATACTATTTTTGTAAACCTCTATGTTAACCAGTTATAAAATGTGAATGAAATGACTGATATCCTAAGAAAATATAAATGATCTAAATTAACCACAAAGGAATAGAAAACCTATACAAAACAGATGGACAGCATGCAAAAATGGAGAAAGTTGGGAAATCTTGTAACAGGGTTAAGTCCAGAACACTTTCCATGTGAATTCTCTCAAGGCTTCCAAAACAAAACAAGTATTTCTGGTGATATGAAACTGTTATAGAACACAGAAAAAGAAGAAAATCACCCCAGTTATTGGAAGATTCCCACAGCCACTTACACTAAAATATAACAAGCCAATTTTTAAAAAATTACAGACTAATCACATTTTATATTATTGATGCAGAAATACCTAGTAAAATATTAACAAATAAAACACAGAATTATATTTAAAGATTAACACAACATGGCCAAGTGGATTCATTTCAAGAAATATTGTTATTAACCTTATAACAAGTGAAAAGAGGGGGGAAAGACAATAGGTAGATTATACCAGTCAATAAAATTTAACATAGTAGGGGGGAGTCAAAAAACCCTGGAATTTATAAAATATTGTGCATTTATTCCTACATGTTTGAACTTCAGTCACCTTCAAAGGACTCTGTTTGATGCAATAAACCTATTGAGATGCTTTTACCACTGCTCAAAAAAGTTTAGAACTCGTCAGTTTTGATGCCTTTTAGAGCTTCTGCTGGTTTTTGTTTCACCTCTTCCACATCAGCGGACTGTTTCCTTTTGAGGATTCTTTTCCTCTCAGGAAACAAAAGTCACTCGGAGCAAGATCAGGTGAATAGGGAGGGGAGGGCACAGGGGTCCTGCTGTTTGGGGTCAAAAGCTGCTGAACACTCAGCGCAGTGTGGGCGAGTGGGCTCATGAATCAGTCACCACGAAATGGGCAAACACAACGAAAAAATCTCCAAAAACAAAATTCGCTGAAGCCGAACGCAGCCTCTCGACACTAGCTGGCACACTGATGCTGATGGGTTCCTATGACAACACTTAGGTAGCAAGGGAAGCCAATACTCCAAGGGATAATTCTAGATTTTGGGGGGTCCCTCCTCTACACTCGGCAAAACTCAGCATACATTCCTGACTTACTCCTATTTTTGGCATCTATAAAAATGAAAAGCTAGAGGCATCCCTAGTAGAGTCAGCATGAAGGGAAGGATATCCAATGTTGCTGGTCTAAGCAACTGGACATGAGCATGATATAAAAGATACAAACATGGGAAAGGGGGAAGCAAAATTATTTTCAGGTAATCATATACCTGAAAAGTAAAGAGAACAACAGAATATTCACATAAGAAAGTTTAATGAAGTGGCCAACTATTTTTAAAAAATCAATGGTTTTATAAAGACAAACCATATAAAGGAAAATATGATGGGGAAAACATACTGTTGATAGATCCTTAAAATAACTTGGAATAAATATATGTAAACCTCTGTAATGTAAAACATGAAATTCTATGAGGGATATAAAAGAAGATTTTTATAGGTGGTTTATTCCTAGATCAAGAAGATTCAAATTATAAATATAGTAATACATCCAAATACCTGAAGATTTAATTTTATAACAAAGTATTCAAGATCTTTTTTAATTTTTTGAATTTTACAAAATAATTCTGATGTTCTAGGGAATATGGGAGAATAGCCACTATGACATTTTTAAAGAGTAAGTATTAAGTATAAATGAAATTAAGAAGTAGTTTGGCAGAAATAAATAGGTCAGTTAAATAGAATGAAAGCTCAGAATATGTCCTCAAAAATTAAAATTTTGATTGATAATGTTGGTATTTCAAATCAGTGGTGTTAAAAATGAATTATTTCATTACTAAGATTAGGAACAACCTGCTTTTTAAAAATAATTTATATTGAAGTCTAATTCACCTACAGTAAACTATACCTATTTAAAATGTACAATTTGATGAGTTATGACAGATGTATACACCCTTGAAACCACTACCGCAATCAAGACACAGAACATGTCCATCTCCCATCCAGTTTCCTCAAGTCCCCAAAACTGGATTTTGAAAAAGGTCAAAGTTGGATCCTTACCTCACTCTACATCAAAATTCATTCCATGTAAAGATTTAAATGCAAAAGGATAAGACAATAGAAGAAACCAAGGAGGCACAAACATTATGCTAATATTGGTGGTAAAGAAAACCATTCTTAAAATGACATGAACCTCATAAGCAAAGGATTGATACATTTGACTTGTTACTTAAAAAACACAAACATGGCCGGGCTTGGTGGCTCAGCCTGTAATCCTAGCACTTTGGGAGGCCAAGATGAGTGGATTGCCCGAGCCCGCAGATTCAAGAACCACTGGGCAACTTGGTGAGACCTCGTCTCTACAATAAATCAAAAATTAGCAGGGCATGGTAGCGCACGCCTGTAGTTCCAACTACTCGGAAGGCTGAGGCCGAAGGATCGCTGGAGCCCAGCCGGTCGAGGCTGCCGTGGCCGGTAGCGGCCACTGCACTCCAGTCTGGGTGACGGAGTGAGACTCCAACTCAAAAAAAAAAAAAAAAAGAACCCCACAAACACACAAATTTATACGTCTGGAAAAGGAGACTTTATTTCTCATAAGGGGTTACAGCCAGCAGGGTGGCGGAAGGTGGCCCGGCCTTCGTGCAGGCTAGGAGGCACCTCCACGACCAGACACAGGCACTTTGAAAGAGAAGGGGCTGGGGTGGGAGTTTTATGCTGACCAAGCTGGCTAACCGAACATATTTTACAAGTTACTAGAGAAACTATGAATATTCATGAGGGTGGTCCTGTGGCATGCATAGTAAACAAGCATGCATCTAGCATACAGTTCATGTTCACTTAGGGGTGGAGACTTAACAGTTAGGACCTGTACATCAAAGGTCTTTTCAGAACATGAGGGCACACAAGCGCACAACCTCTGTAAACTAGCCAGAAACAGTCCATGGTCAGTGGTCTCCTATCAAGAGAAAGTTAGTAAAATCAGTCTAATCAAAGCCGCAAGCTATGGCTTATGGAATGGGGATCCATTAGTGTCTGGAGGTGAGCTGCAACTGTTTTAATATTGCTTATCTTGAGGTCAGTGCTTGTTTAGTTGCTAGAAAAACCTTGTGGCATTTAGAACATTATTTAATCTTTAAGTGTGGGGGTGGTGTGTGACTTAACCCTTTGCCTGTCATGACCTTAGGTCCTGTTTATAATTTGCTATCTTACTGCCACAAAGAGTCTTCTGTCAGTCTTACACCTCGATTTTAACAATGCTCGTCAGCTGTGTTGAATCATAAAAGAGAGAAGGTATGATGAAGCATGTCTGACTTCCCGTCGCATCATATCTAGGAGCAAAGTTCTTAAGGTTTTCCTGGGGTCCCCTTGGCCAAGAGGGAGTCTGTTCAGTAGGTAAGAGGGTTGAGGATTGTATTTTTAGTTTACAGATTACATCAAAATGATTACATTTCTGAACAGCAAAATATATCATAAAGTAAAAGCTCCAACAGACTCGAAACATTATTTCCAACACACATGACAAAAGAACCGTATCTTTATTATATGAAAATACCTTACAAGTCAATATAAAAAACACAACATTCTAATAAAAATTCCACAAGGAAAATGAACAGGCAATTCACAGAAAAAAAAAACGCACAAAAACACCAAAGTATAAGCTGAAGTTTATGAACAGTAAGAGCATTTTTATTTTTATTCACACCTGTCATAAACTTCTGCAACAATGGTTTTAAATCACCATTTCAAAAACGAAAAGATGGTTTGGCTCTTTACAGTTTAAAGAAAAACCTGAGGTCAGGCACCGTGACTCAAACCTGTAATCCCAGCACTTTGGGAGGCTGAGGCAGGAAGATCACTTGAGCACAGGAATTCGAGCCTAGGCAACATTGCTAGACCTCATCAAAAAATAAAAAAGTTAGCTGGGCACGGTGGTACATGCTTGTAGTCCCAGCTACTTCAGAGGCTGAGGTAGAAGGATCTCCTGAGCCAAGAAAGTCAAGCTGTGATAAGCCATATCGTACCACTGCACTCCAGGCTGGGGAATAAAGTGAGTTTCCAACTCAAAAACAAAGAAAAAAGAAAAAAAACACTTCACAAAGTTATTAGAAATTCAAATATTTGAAGTGATTAATAATTATTTTATTACAAAAGCTTCATTATCCTCTATGCTATCTATGCTTGGTTTCATGATTCTTAGCATCCAAACGAAAGTTTATTATTTACATGGATAATAAAATCATTTGACAGAAACAGTATTTTTGTAGTGCTTAATGTTTTTCATTTTAAAATTGTTAACTTACCTTTTTACCAGGAGATGAGGGTTTAAAAGGACTTGAAATTAATTTTTTCTTTATTTCTTTTTTAATTGGTGGCAAAGGTTTCTCAGAAAAATAAGGATTAGTGTCAAAATATTCCCTTGGGTAAAGATTTAATTTGAAAGGTCCTCCTTTGAGTAAATGATGGTGTGCTTCATTCTCTTTCTGTAAATTAAAGAGTTTGAAATTATATAGCATAAATTATGCAAATTAAAAATAGTTAAATCTTTTACATTTTAATATAAACAATGCAGACTCTCTACTAAATACTTCTGGGTGTATTTTTTTAAAACCTTCCTTTGTTATATTTTCATGGTATAAAAATATGCCTACTTATGAACAAGAATAACTAGGATTATTCATTTTGGATACAGATTTATTTGAGGTATAGAGATCTACTTATCACCTGAATAAATGTCTCTATTAACTCTCTGGGCAGTGATGCAGTTAAACAGAGATTCCTCTCTTGTTCAAGCCCTAGTTCCTTCTTGCTTTTAGCATTTCTCAGGGACTCTAGGAAAATTACTTACTCTTTTAGTATCATGTCTTCTTCAACTGAAAATGAAGATGATATTATTACCACCCCCACTTAATCCTGTTGTGAAGATTAAATGACATTATGTATATGCCATAGCTGGCACATGGCTTTCCCTCAATAAATGGCAGTTTTTGCTTTTAAGAATAAGGAATACTCATTTTTTACATTATAACATTTTTATAGTACAATATTCTTGGCTACCTAGTATTCAAGCAAAACAGAGGTCACTTTTTCCCTCCTATGTTGCAATTTTTTCTATAGGAAAATACTCTGTAAAAATTGCTAGCTATCAATAAAGTAGCAAAGAAATTATGTTATGAAACAGATTCAAAAAGACAACTATAATGTAAATATTGATATATTTTCCTCACTTTTTGTAAATATAAAATCAGATTAATATTTCATCATTCAACAAACAACTGAAAACATGTGATAAATGAAATCTAAAATTGAGAGCTATTTGAGAGAAGACTAATTTTTACTACAAAGAACGCTGCTGTAGCACTTTCAGAATTTCTTACTCTTTTTAAATATTTCTCCTGCTCTTGTTTGTCCCCTTCTTTCTCCAGCCCACAGGACTTCATCCATTCCTGGTGATCTTTTCTTCTCTCTTCTACATCACAACAATGGCAGGTGAAAATTTATTCTATTCACCCTATTGGGCAGTATTCCTCAAGATGTAGTTTTCATGGAAATCACTTAATAATTTTCTTAAGTTAAAAATTACTAAGTTTTTCCTTTAAAGACTTCTGAGATTGCATTGGGGTGCTACATGACCCATTAATCTGCAGTTTTAACAGCTACCCCAAGTGACTCTGGCACATGTTATTATAAGGCAATGTTTTAGGGATCACTTAAGCATGGTCACCTTTTACTAGAAAAATATGTGCTGTATTTGTTTTACCAATCCATGCCCTAGAATATTCAGTCTAGTCCCAATATGGCATATTGGCATATGTGTGAGAAAATTACACAAAGCCAAGAAAAGAACCACCTGAAAGAATTTCAGATAACAGTGTCTGGCCCTCACACTGGGAATGATGTTAGAAATCATGCTGAAAATGTTATAATTCACAGGGCTTGGGGGAGGGAGGAAGTCCTGCTTCAGTAACTGGAAATAATTAGCACCAGATTAAGCACTGAGCCTGTCACACTTAACAAATCTTAAATGCAAGACTTGAGAAGATATAACCATTTCTAAATAATTTAACTGCATTCTAGAACAAAGCCCAAGAATATTTACAAGAATACAAAAATATATAGCACAAAGTAAAATTCCCAGTGCCTGGCATCCAATAAAAAAATCCAATTCAAAGTAGCAAAATATAACTCCCATATTGAGGAAAAATCACTTATTTAAAACCAACCAAGAATTTATATAGATGTTAGCATTAGCAGAGAGGGTATTAAAATAGTAATTATAACTGTATTCTATATGCTCAAAAAATTAAGAGATATGTAAGATATTAAAAATACTCAAATCAAACTTCTAGAGAGCTAACCCACAATGTGTAAGATTAAAAATACACTACATGACATTAACAGAAGATTGGACACTATACAATAATAGACTAGTGACTTTGAAGACCTAGCAATAGGAATTATCCAAAGTGAAATACAGAGAAAAAAAGATATTTTTAAAAAAAGAAAATTGGTAAGTTGTGGAACAATTTCAAGAGACCTAAGATACATTAATTGGAATCTCAGAAGGAGATGAGAAAGAGAGGGATGGATTTTAAAAATCTGAAGATATAATGGCTGGAAATATTCCAAATTTGATAAAAACTGTAAACTCACAGATCCAAGAAAGTCAATAAACCCCAAGCACAAGAAGCATGAAAGAAAACAACACGAAGGCACATCATAATCCATTCATTTAAATGAGTGACAAAAAGACAACCTTCAAAGTAGCCAGAGAAAAAGACATGTTTCAGACAGAAGAATAAAAATAAACATAACAGCAGACTTCTCATCAGAAACAACTCAAGCAAGAACACAGTGGAATAACTTTTTTAAAACACTAAAAGAAAAAAGATACATTTTTCAAAATTACCTTTAGAATTAATATTAGGAAATCCAGGAACATAAAATTTCTGACTTAATGTATAAGTTCTGAAAGTGAAAATAAAAGAGTTTTTCTACAGGGAGAGAAAAGTATCTCATATCCATAAAGTTTAGGATGAAAGATCAATTACTGAGCCACTGTAAAATTATGTGTTATGTAGTTATATAGTATGTATGCATTAGTATTCCTACACATGAAAAATAGTTTATACATATCATGCAGTATAAACTGCAGGATCCATATACAGGAAACATAGCTGCTTATTTTCAGATGACCAGGTTTCTGGCCAATATCATAGAACACTTTTCCTGTATTTGGACAAGTACATTTGCAAAACTAGCCACTGTCCTTTCTCACATTCCCAGTGTTATTTAAAATCGCCAGAGCAAATTGCTGAAGTCTGCACGCCTATAAAAACACAAACAGAAAACTAAAAAGTGATTGCCATTTCATTGCTTTACTTAAAGTACAAAGTAACAATTTTTCATTACTACCTACTTTATTTAAGCTATGTTGATATTATTCTAAAACTTATAAGGGTTTCCCTATTTATTCACATGAAGACATTCCCCTCATAAATAAGCAAGTTTCAATATTGTCATATTTTGTATACGTGAGTGTAAGAGGCATCTGCCAGTGCAATTTAGGTTTCATTTCTGCCATTTAGTAAAATGAGCAGTTTCCCCCCATCCTTTCACTGTGTCTCCTACAGGGATTCATCCATTCTCTAACCTCCTGGCTTTCCTATCACTCCACCACTCCTCAAGCCCATTCGCTCACCATAATGGCTTCTTGGTCTACCCCCAAGTATTACCACTATTTTCCCAGGCACAAGATAGGGAGGGTGTGTTGGGTATATGGCTAAGGGTTATAACATTACTGTTCAGTTAAAACATAGTTGATTGCCGGGCATGGTGGCTCACACCTATAATCCCAGCACTTTCGGAGGCCAAGGTGAGAGGATAGCCTGAGCCCGCGGGTTCGAGACCAGCCTGGGCAACTTAGCAAGACCTCATCTCAACAAAAAATCAAAAACCAAAATTAGCTGGGCATGATGGCACATGACTGTAGTTTCAGCTACTTGGAAGACTGAGGAGAAAAGATCACCTGAGCCCAGCAGGTAGAGGCTGTGGTGGCCGAGAGAGTGCCACTGTCCTGCAGCCTAGGTGACAGAGTTCGACTCTAACTCAAAAAAACCAAAAAACAAAAGACTTAGTTGATCAAACCAAGTTAACAGAAGTCTCGCAGCTCGTTTAGAGAGATGTAGGACAGATGTGGTAAACTATAGCAGAAGATAAAATTTATTCTGGAAAGAGCTGAGAATATCTACAGCAAGATGTGGAAATCCAATATCAAAAGCATAAAATTATAATTCATGAATATCAGTCTGTTATTGCCCTGTGATATAAATAGAACATAACAAAATTAAATCATAAGTGAATTTCAAAGTTAACAAAAGAAAGATCAAAAATTTCAAAATAGATTATTTTACCTTATAATTTAGTTTTGGTGCATCATAGAGATCAGCAGAGTGTGAAAACTGTTTACCTATGGTAACATTTGCATAGCTAAGGAGGGAAAATGAATAATAGTGACTTTAGGGCTCAGAAATTTTAATTTCACTTAAAAAAAATTTAAAACAAATAATGTGAAAGCATTAAAAATATCTTACCCATATCCAGTTCCTTTCTTTCCTGGGTTTGTGTATAAATTCTTTCCAGGTGCCTGATATTTCTCTGCAGGTTTTGACTGTGCACTGAAAAATGGGACTGGACCACCTATTGTTCCATAGTAGCTGCCGAATCCACATCTTAAATGCAATTTTTGAAAAAATTTTGTAAAGGATAAGGTTAAAATGGCAAATTTTATGATATATAGAGTTCACCATAATTTTTTAAAGATTGAAAAAACATAGATATGCAATGAAATTGACTTGCCTAATTTTGGTAAGAAAAAAATTTTGTTAGTTTTTTTCCCTAATCTGACTCTTGCAAAGTTTTTGCTTATTTGTTTATAGAGACAAGGTCTTGCTATGTTGCCCAGGCTGGTCTCAAACTCTTAGCCTCAAGCAATCCTCCCACCTCAGCCTCCCAAAGTACTGGGATTACAGGCATAAACCACCATGCCCGGCCTCTTGCAAAGTTTTTGAACAAATGTGTTTTCATTATTTAGTTGTTCTTGTTGGTTTGAGACACAGTCTCAGTGTCACCCAAGCAGGAATGCAGTGGTGTGATCCCAGCTCACTGCAGCCTTGACCTTCTAGGCTCAGGCAAGTGATCCTTTTATCTCAGCCTCCCAAGTAACTGGGACTACTAGTGTGCACAACCATGTCTGGCTAATTTTTTTTTTTTTTTTGTAGAGACGAGGCCTCACTATGCTGCCCTGACTGGTCGCAAACTCCTGGGCTCAAGTTATTATGCAACTTTGGCCTCCCAAAGATTATAGGCATAAGCCACGGCACCTGGACTGGTTTTTATTATATAAAGTAAGAGAACAATAACATAGACAATCCAAAATTTAATAGAATATAATCAAGAGAGAATACAATCAAAATTACCTGTGAATCTAAATCACCTAGTATAACTATCTCCACCTAAGACACACTAAAAATCATATTTAAGAATCAATTTTATATGAGTAAGACCTACAGAAAAGCAAACATTTAATTTAGGCTAGATAGATAAAGGTGCAGAAAATCTATTCAAGACTTTTCCCCCTAAACACTTACGATTTTTTATCTCCATTACTAGGGAGGAAGGCTTTGCCTAGGTTTTTTTTGGTTTCTTCCATCATGCGCCGTCTCCTCACTTGATTCATATTTACGTAGCCTTCACCTTCAAAAATCCTTACAAAGTGGGGATCAAAATAACCTGCCTGAAGATCTGACATTTCTTTGGATCCCCCGGGCAGCATCTGTCTATTTTTGCTTGCAGCCTCATTAAAAGGTCCTTTAAAAATAAATTAGGAATACTATAATTTTGAGCTCACTAGCAATTAAAGGACATGAAAACTAATTTAGAAAAGTTTAACGTGATTTGGGCTAATTATGAGTTTTGAGCTCTAACACAATGTTTCAAAATGTTCACTGAAAGTTCTGTCCTAAAGCCTAGTTTGATAATAAGACCTAGAGGTCTTAATTAAAATGTTTTAACATTTAGGTTAAGGTACTGGCTGTACACCCTAAATTTTAGAGCCTGAAGGCTATATAATCCAATGTTTCTCCTTCTGTGTAGTAGGAAACACCATTTGTATAAAATGTTAGTAAGAGTGTGTGCATAGGTTAAAAAGAATAGTATTTCATACTCATATTGAAGCAATTCCCCTCCTGGGTATATACTTAAGACACATGAGTGTCTATATCCACTAAAAGACATGAACAAGAATGTTCACAGCAGTTTCATTCAAAAAAATAAAAAACAAGAAACAGCCAAATGTCTGCCACTGTGATATTTATACAATGAAATACTAGTAACCCTGTAAATTTTTAAAGGCTGTTTTCATAAATATTTAAAATTTCTTTCATCATTTGGATCCAGGAGAACTCTATTGGAGGATTCATTTGGTAATGTGAATAATTTTTTTAAGTGCATACAAAACCCTTAATTCAACTGGTTACTGAAATATGAATTTGTATCACTGGTTTTTTAAACAAATTTTTAAAAAGGTAATACATTCAAACAGTTCCAAATTCAAAAGTATAAATATTTTCACAATAAAGCTTTCTCCCACACTTGGCCACCCAATACCTCTTCCACAGGCAGAGATTTCATTCTCCAGAGACTGTTTACACATGTTCCCGTGAATACTTTGTTAATGCTTTGCATACTATATATACTATTCTGCATCTGCTTTTTATTTTACAATGTATCTTGAAGCTGTTTCCAAATCAATGTGTTCTTTTTTATTATTAAATAGCAGTTATTGGGGATCCAAACATTTAACTGAGACATGTAAAACGTTTCTTCACTTTTGCCCTTTTTATTAGTTGTGACTTTTCTAAAAATCCTTCAGCCATTCATTGAGCCTTTCATTTCTCAGGGAAGTAGTAATGCACAGCCTTCTTGTATGCAAATGTAAATGCTGTTGCATAATGGAGTGTCTTATCTAAGAAAAAAAGCTACAAGCAAAATATTCTGGGAGAAAATCACCATGTACTTTTGGAAAAAAATAAAATTACCTATAAGAACAATAAATTCGGGTAGAATAGCCCAATAAAATGATCTTCCTACTCGTATAAATTAAGTTCTCTCTTAACTATATTGAAGTTTCACAAGTTAATCAACTTTAGAACTAAATGCTTTAAAATATAGACATTAAAATACCATTGACTTAAGAATTAAATTCAAAATTTCAAATAGAAAATACCCACTATTTGGCTATAAAGAAAACCAAACATACTTACGATTAAATCGTGACACGTATTTGTCACCAACAGTAATATATTCCATCTCACTAAAGAGACCAATTCTCTCCATAGCCGTTTTTCCTACTTCTGCAGGCATAGTTGCTTCTCGTGGTGGTGTTCTCTATGCTGGTAACCTCAAGTCTCCTTAGGGCTACTTCTTTTATAGCCAAATCCTACCTTACATTGAAAAATAAATGGGAAAAGTTTAGGAAAAACATGATTGCTAAATTCAGGCCAAATTACTTTCAGTCCGAGAGTTTCAACATCCGATATAAAACAGCAGTCCCAAATTCTGTGGGGAAAGAAGCTACTCTGTGGGTCTAGGGGAAAATATTGGGATTCAAGACCCTTGACTCGCCTGTGAAGTACCCACAAGTTACAAAGGAATGTGTATGAGATCATGATATCATCTGTTCTACTGCCATTTATCATTGGAAATGATCCAACAGATCAACATTACTGTAGTGTAGCATAAATATCGAACTATAAACAAATCCTTCTTTAAAGAAGACCAGGGTAGACTTAAAATTCATCATTATATAAAGCAGACACTTTTGCAGTTGAGATACAATGATTTAAGCACTGTCCCTCATACTGAAAATGATAACAGCTTTTCAGAACGCACAACACATCTAGGCATTACCCTACAGTTCTTGAGTTCTTTCAGTTTTAAATGAATCAAAGAAATGTGCCACTGCAAAATTACTTTATAAAGAGAGCAGGGGAAGACGGTAATCATTTAGGCAAGATTTTAAAAACTGCAATGAATTCTGAGTATTTGTTAAAGGGCAGACTGCAATTGTGAGTTTTCTTTTGAAACGATCACGTCAAACAAAGGTGAAATGTCACGTTAAACATGCAATTCTTTATCTATAAATTAATTTTTGAAAGTAGACATGTCTGGGCAACCCCCTCAGGTCCCCTCCCACTGTGGGAGCTTTTCTGTCCTCTTAATAAATCTTGCTTAAAAAAAGAAGAAGAAGAAAAAGAGAAAGTAGACATGTCCTAAAAAGGAGGACCAAAGAGTTTAGAATACGTGTCTCCGTCTCATCCTAATGCTTTTAAAGAACCAACTACAAACTAAGCACCCGGCATACATCAGTCATTAAAACAGGCATTGGTTTATGCTTCCCAGTTTATAGTGCAAGGTAAGAGCCCTTTGCCTTGAACGTAGTGCAAGCTGTTCAGTGCCTCTCGGCAAGCTGGCCTATGTGCAACTGTGGTTCACCTGGGCATGAGTCACTGCCCATACGCAGGTGAGGTCTCACTGTAAACGAAAGCATAAGGAAATACACCACCCTTCCCCATCCCACCTCGTCCACAGATCTGGCAGGCTTTAAAATTAAGCGCCCGGCAGTTGGGATGTAGTGCTCTATTTACAAGTATTCCAAAGCTCCACCCCACCGTCCAGCCCCAAAGGCTGCGCCTCACAGGGTCCCTGCATCAGCCAGCCTCGTCCGTGACCAGGGCAATCCTCCCCCTGGTCCCTTGGCTGCCCTGTCCTCTTTCACTTCTGAGGCCGGGCCCTCTCCGGCCACAGGACTGCTGCTGCTTCACTGTAGGCAGGTACCTCTGGGCCGACCCTTTCCCGCCACGCTCCCCGCACCCCATTCACACTGAGTCTCGAGAAGTCTCGGTTTACTCCTCACTTCTTTAATTCCCTCCATCACGGCGGTCTGTCCTCCTGCTGAGCCCTCCTCGTGGTTTTCTCAGAGGCCATCATTGCACATTCGTCGTGCAGGGATCCTTGAACAGTTCCCCGACTCAACTGCTGGCCCCCCGGGGCCGCAGCCCTGCGGCGGGCGGGTTCTTCACCGCGGCATCCCCAGAGTCCGAGCCGCGCCGCGCACGCAACGAAGCGCACTGCGGGGGGAGGACAGCCCTGCCTGGAAGGTTTCCACTACTTAACTCATCTCGAGCGAGCTTTGCAAAACCCCGCGTTCACTCCTTTAGCAGAGACGCTGCAAACTCCTCCCGTAAGGCTCGCTGGTCGAAACCAGAAAAGCGGATTCAAACAGGCACCGCCCCCGCCCCCAGAAGCGAGCCATCGAGGCGACAGTGCAGCGCGAACACAAGTGGAGCAAGGCCAGCTCCCCTCTAGAGACGTAGAGTGTCATGGGGGCAGAAAACGTCTACCGAGGTGATGAAATCAGTCCCCACTTAGGAAACGGAGGCCCGGAGCAGGCCGGTATCTAAGGCGAACACCTGGGGCTGCGAGGTGTCGCCTCTCCGGAGGGCGCCCAGTCGAAGCCGAGGCGGCGGCGTCGCGGGTCGTCCGGGTCCACCAGGCCGCAGGATAGCTGCGGGCTGCGACCGCCCCTGCACGACCGGCGCGCCGCGGTGCTCCGCGAGACGCGCTGCCCCGGAAACGGGAGAATCCATTCCCAGCGCGCCACGGAAGACACGGGGCGAGTTCGCGTCACACAGGAACACACAGAAGGAGCCCGAAGACTCCACCCACGTCAGCTTACCAAAAGCCAACCTTCCGCGGCGCGCCGCTCCGACCGCCGCGGGGGACGGCGCGTGGTACGCCCCGTGACGTGGCCGCTACGCATGCTGGGAGTTGTAGTCCCCCGACGCCCCGCCCCGGGCCCGTCCTGACGCCCTGACGCCCTTCCGGGCCGGTCCCCGAGGCCCGGCGGACGTCAGCCGGGCTCCCTGTCCCCGCCACGTCGCAGACACGGTAAGTGCCGCGGCTTGTCACCGACCGCCGTGTTGCCCTCGGACCTGCAGCCGCCTCGAGGCTGGCTCCTCAGCCCCCCGAGAGGAGCTGTCCTGCCGAGCCCGCCACGGCCCCCGCGAGCGCCTGGCGCCGGGCATCCCGCTCCTTCCCTCTCCCCGCGCGCCGGGGGGAGACCGCCCCGCCACGCGCCCCTGCTCGCAAGTGCGGTCCGAGGCGTTCCGAGGCGTGCCTGAGGCCTTGGAAGGATTGAGCCGGGGAAGCACAGGCGTACCCTTCTCCTGATCTCCGATTCCCCGGACTGCGTGATTCCACGCTCTCCAGGTTTTCCTCCACGTCGGTTGCTTCGGGGGCCGTTCACACCCCGCGCTTTCTCCCAGGTTTTCTCTGCAGCTTGGACCGTCCCCCTCAGCTCCAGGCACAGATCTGCCAACTGCGACTCCACCTGGATAGCGCATATGTGTTTCAACTCAGCAAATTCAAACTCGTTTCCACCTCCCCACACCTCACACCTGCTCTTCCTCCAGCAGCCCTGCCGTCCACCCTGCGGAGCCTGCCAGAAACCTGGCACTCATCCTTGACATCTCCGTCTTCTCAACTCCCGGACTTACAATCCACAGCTAGGTCCTACGGATGCTACTGCTGAGTGTCTGCCTGTCGTCACTCTCCACTCTTCCCTTCCTTGTCCTTGCCACCAGCGGATCCACCCTGGGGCTGCGTCCTAACTGGCCTTTTAAGCAGGCCTTCACTGTTCTGTGCCCCTGCCTGGAATGGGCTCATCCACCTCTGCCCCATCTTTCCTTTGGAATTGTTAGTATTGGTGCCTACTTACCCCAGAGATCTCAGCTTAAGTATTATTTCACAGGAGAGAATCTCAATTCGGAAGTCTAGGAAGACTAGTGCTTTCACATGTGATCTCTATGGAATCTTTACAGCATCCCCGGGAATTTGTATATTTTCCCCATTTCAGAGAAGAGAAACAGATTTCAGTGATTAAGCTGTGCAAAGTCATACAGTAAGTAGCAGAGTTAAAATTTGCTCTTTCCAGTCTTTTCAACTTTTATCTTCAGTACCTAAATATTTTTTGTTCAAATAGGCACATACTATTTTGTATGATAGTATTGTTCTTTATTTAACCAAGTTCTTGTTGATAACTATTTAAGTGGTTTCCAATTTTTTTGTTGTTCCTGTGGTAAACAACAGTAGTGTAAGTGGACAGCATTGATGCTAAATTTGTTCTGAACTTTCTTGTTTCCTTAGAACAAATTCTGAGAAGTAAAATTGCAGCACAGAGTATGATCTTTCCACAGCTTACAATTTATGGAATAAGTAAAAGCAAACATCCTTAAAGAAATGTAACAAGAGATTTGTAATATGAGAAAAATTGTAATGACACCTATTTTATGATATTCCAAGAGTTCATATGTGTGTTTTGCATAGTGCCTTTTACATTTCAAGACCTCAGTAAATAGTAATCGTTTTATTCATTTATTTCAAAATAGAGTTCATACTATGTAGTATGGTTCTTCAGCTAGTATGAGACATATTTTGAGGATCTAATGAAGCCTTGGCAACCTCCCCCCTAAGGAAATCTCCTTTCACCCTCCCTTCCTCTCTCTGCCTCCCTCTCCCTCCCTTTCCCTCTGTCTCCCTCATACACACACAAAATGATCCCCGTCATCTGGCATATATCATCAACTATCTGAAACTCAGCATAGGAATCTCCTCAAACAGAATAACAGTCAACCAAGGATTCTGTATCCCACAAAACTAAGTTTCATAAATGAGGGAGAAATAAAGTCTTTCTCAGACAAGCAAATGATGAGGGAATTTGTCACCACTAGACTGGCTCTGCAAGAAATACACAATGGAGTTCTAAATACTGAAACAAAGGATCGAAATAGGACAGTAGAAAAACACTGAAAATCATAAAAAAGCTCATGGGGCTTATAGAACACCAACACAATAAATAAAAATAAAATAAAACAACCAGATAACAACCAGCATGATGAACTCTACCTTACATATCAGTACTAACCCTGAACATAAATGGTCTCAAGCTCCACTAATTCTTATATCAGATAAAACAGACTTTAAATTAACAACAATAAAAAAAAGACATTATTATATGGTGATAAAGGGATCCATCCAACAAGAAGACATAATTTAGAATATATATGCACCTAACACCAGAACTTCTAGCTCTATGAAATAAATTTTCCTAGACCTAAAAAAAGAGATAGACAACAATACTATAATAGTAGGAGACTTCAACACTCCATTGACAGCAGTAGACAGCTCATCAAGGCAGAAAATCAATAAAGAAACAATGGAGTTAAACTGGACCCTAGAACAAATGGAACTAATAGATAGCTATAGAACATTCTACCCCACACTACAGAATATACATTTTTCTGATCAGCACACGGGACATTCTCCAAGATAGACCAGATGATAGATCACAAATCAAGTCTCAATAAATTTTAAAAGATCAAAATCATATCAAGCATCTTCATAGACCATAGTGGAATAAAGCTAGAAATTAACTCCAAAAAGAACTCACAGCTGGGCACAGTGGTTCATTCCTATAATCCAGCACTTTGGGAGGCCAAGGTGAGAGGATTACCTGAGTCCACAGATTAGAGACCAGCCTGGGCAAATAGGCAAGACCTCATCTCTACAATAAAATCAAAAAATAGCTGAGTGTGGTAGTGCACGCCTGTAGTTCGGACTACTTGGAAGGCTGAGGCGGAAGGATCGCCTGAACCCAGCAGGTTGACTCCAGCCTGAACGATAGAGTGAGACTCCAACTCAAAAAAAAAAAAGAACTCACAAAACTGAACAAAAACATGGAAGTTAAATAATGTGCTCCTGAACAATCCTTGAGTCAACAATGAAAAGATGGAAATTTGGGGGGGGCGGAGTTCAGAGTCTCACTGGAGTGCAGCGGCACACCCTCAGCCACTGCAGCCTCGACCTGCTGGGCTCAGGGCTCAGACGATCCTTCCGCCTCAGCCTTCCAAGTGGTTGTAGTTCCAGCTACTACCTGGCTTATTTTTTGATTTATTGTAGAGATGAGGTCTCACCAAATTACCCAGGCTGGTCTTGAACCCCTGAGCTCAGGCAATCCTTTCACCTCAGTCTCCCAATATCCTGGGATTACAGGCTTGAGCCACTGTCCCAGGCCAAGATGGAAATTTTAAAATTCCTTGATATGAATGACAACAAAATAAGTTATCAAAACCTCTGGGATGTAGCTAAAGCTTGCTCAGAGGCGAATTTATAGCACTTAGGCCTACATTATTAAGCCTGAAAGATCACATATTGACAGCCTAATATCACACCTCTAGGAACTAGAAAAACATTAACAAACCAAACCGACAGCAGAAGAAAGGAAGTAACAAAGATCAGAGTAGAACTAAATGAAATTGAAATAAAAATAACAATTCAAAGTATCATTGAAACAAAAAGTAGGTTCTTTGAAAAGATAAACAAAATGATAGACCACTAGCTAGATTAATTAAGAAACTATTTTTCTTATTAGAATCTTATTTAGATTCAAATTAGCTCAACCAGAAATGAAAATGGAGATATTACAACTGATACAATGGCATTACAAAAGATCATCTGAGATTATTGTGAACACCCCTATGAAAACTAAACAATCTAGAGGAAATGGATATATTCTTAGAAACGTACAACACCCCAGTCTTGAATCAGGAAGGAGTAGAAACCCTGAACAGACCAATAATGAGTAATGAGATTGAAACAGTAATTAAAGTCTCCCAACAAAAAAGAGTCCAGGACCTTTTAGACTCACAGCTAAATTCTACAAGACTATCAAAGAAAAACTGGTACTAATTTTACTCACGCTATTCCACAAGACTGAAAAGGAGGGAATACTTCCTAACGTATTCTACAAAAGGCAGTATCACCCTGATACCAAAGCCAGGAAAGGACACAGCAAGAAAAAACTATAGACCAATATCCCTGATGAACATAGACACAAAAATCCTCAACAAAATATTACAAACTGAATTCAACAAGCACATTTAAAAAAAAATCACCACGAACAAGTGGGT